AACCAAATAAAATTTTAATTTTTCACTCATCCCCAATATGCTTATTTTAAAATCAGTGCAATAGTTTTTCTGATTCACATGTTATATCTGACCAGCAAAAGTCCAAAGACTGATACTCTGATGCTCTGAAACACAGAGGGCAGCAGCACCCTTCCCTTCCACAAGGAGGGTGCTCTTCCCCTCCCACATGCTCCACCTGCCCCAGTCAGAGACCATGCAGATCTTCCTCAGACAGATCCCTGTTGAAAGCTCTTGCCAGGCGTGGTGGCACACGCCCGTGATCCCAGCACTCGGGAGGCCGAGGCAGGGAGTTGCTGTGAGTTGAAGCCCGGCCTGAACTACACAGCGAGACCCTATCTCATAAAAAGACACAGAACAAAACAAAAATAAAGAAAGAGAAGAAAAGGAAAGCTCTGCGGTCTTCCAATAAGCAAAAGGAGTTTCTTCTTCAAGAGGAAGTAACCTACTCCTACACTATACAGCCGAAGTTTACTTGCCAACGCATAATTTTCAGGTTTATAAAATCAGACGTTTTCTTTCTCATTTCAAGATGAGCTTGACTTTCCCTTTAACTGTGGCCCCAGAGTTCTCTTCTACCTGGCAAGGAACCAAACTCAAATAGCATCTCCCACTAACGCAGAAGAACCGCAAAGGCTGTCAGGCCTGCTGTTCTCGACCGTGCAGAACCTGTATTTTCCAGGCCCTGGAAGCTTGAGGGATAAAATTAATAAGGACTGCTCATGATCGCAGAGACTCTGGCTCCCTTGTGGGGTCCTGGGAGCCCAGCCCCTGCGAGGATACAACCTCCCCTCCAGGGCATGGGGCCTCGTCACCCTCCTCCTTCTCCCAGGCCCCTCCTGGCTGCTTCCCCTGCCCGACAAGCGGGCCCCGCCCCACCCAGCTCCACCTGTTGCTCTGCCAAGGTGGGCAAAGCCTCCTGTGTCCCTGACGTGTGCAGCCCCCCATCAGGGCAGCTGAGTGTAGAGCGGCTGGGAACAGGGCTCCGCTGGTTGAAGCAGGCCGGCCTTGACTGTAGGGCCGCAACACCCCACATCTTTATGTGCGCCTGCCCCTCCGCCTCCCCTAACCCCGCCGGCAGCTCCCCCTTCTACAATACCATCCGTGTCATAAAACAGCTCTGGACGCTGGGCACGGCTCTGGAAGTGAGAAATTACTGACACGGACAGGTGACCGCAAAAGATAAACTGCTCTGTTTTACTCCTATATTTATAAATGCATGTGTGCACTATATTTATAGATGTGTATGTTTCTAGAAAAAAGTCTGGAAAGACACAGTAGATAAATGCTTATTTCCAAGTGGTGAGATGCTGCTATATTCTGTTTCTTCATCTTTTTTGTTGTTTTTTTGGGGGGAGGTGATTTTGCTTGGTTTGATTTTGCAGTATCAGATTTCAACTCAGGGCCCTCACAGTGAATTGTATCTCCAGCTCTTTATTTATTTATTCATTTTTATTTTGTGCCACTCTCCCTGAGTTGCCCAGGAAGAGATCCTCCTACCTCAGTCTTCCAGTGTGCAGGGTGCCTGGTTTGTATTTCATAATATTTCTACAGTGAATATGTAAAGCTTTTGTAATAATAAGGGAAAAAAAAAACTTGCCGTTCCTTCACACACTGCCTTCTCTCCTCCCCTGTTCTAGAAGCCTTTCAACTAACTGATGTTCACCAGACTTCTCTCAGGTGGGGTCAGGAAGGAGCTTCTGCTACAAGTACAGCTTGTGTGGCCTTGTTTGTGTTCCCGGGGCAGGGACAGTTAAGCAAGAGGAACTCATTTTCTCATGGTCTGGAGGCTGGAAGTCCAAAGTCAGTGGGTTGGCAGGGTTGGACCGCAGACAGCTTTCTCCTCACCTGTAGGCAGCCATCCCTCTGTGTCTTCTCATACATAGTCTTTTCTTCTCTACCTGTCTGTGTCCAATAGCCTCTTCTTAATAAGACACTAACTGTGCCACATTGGAGGTCCATCCTCATAACCTCATTTTACCTTAATTCCCCTTTTCAATACCCGTCTCCAAATACCGCTGATGTAGAGATGAAGGTTTCGGTGTAGGAACCGGGGAAGGGCACTCAATTCAGCTCTAAAAGGGCTTCTGCTCACCCACCACATCACCGCAGCCCTGGTAGGCTCAGGTATGTCCGAGTCTTCACACTGTACCAGAAACACATCCGTGACACAGAACACTGGGTCCACATTCCTCTCATTCTGCCTTCAGAAGAAACACTGAACTCCTTGCTGTGAGGTCCTTACAGTTGACTGAGCACATTTAAATATGAAATTCGCAGAATCTGGATCTCAAGCATGAAACATGAATTCAAGGCAGTTGTACTGTTTGACCAGAGGGAAGGCGAATTTCAAAGACTTGCTAGAGCTGATTTCTTCAGTATCTGCCTAGATGTCTCAGAGGTCAGACATAAAAAAGAGCAGTCCTGTTCTCCACCAAGTCGCAGATTGGAAAGGTCTCCTGTCACCACGTTTTCTAAATGGTTGCATCCAAGTGCAGCTCTGTTGGATAGAAGGCAATTGCTTTTGTCTGGCTGATGCCCATTTCCACTGATTCTCAGCTCCCCCCGTAATGACAGAGCTGACAGCGGCTCTGTTCAGGTGGTTTTGCTGGCCGCCCACGGGCAGGAGATGGCGGCTCCTGACTCCTCCTGTAATCCAATAGTCCAGCCTTAATCTCTGAGTTAACCTGATATTGGGTCTCGGAAAAATGGAAATTTTTTTTTTTGTTTGTCTTTTGTTTTTTTCCATTGAGTTTATTGCTACATTTTAGGTACACAGTACAGTTACATTCATCATTGGAAGCTTGTTCCTTTACATGATGTATCTTGGTTTTTATTTTTTCCCCATTCCCCTGCCCTCCCTTCAGCCCTCCCACCCCTCCTTTGTTTCCATTGTTTCCTTTTCTTATATTTTTTCTTTTCTGTTCTTTCCTTTCCCCTAGTTTCTCTGGTATGAAAAACTAAAAGTGTAAATAAGGATCAAAATGTGTAATTGATAGTGTGAAAAAGGAAAAAAAAAAGGTCTAATGCAAGTTTTTTTTAATGGGGAGGAAAACTGAAGTAACTATCCGGCAAATGTAGACTTCAATTATACATTTTTATTTTTAGAGCCTCTCCAAGTTTTAAGTATTTCTAAAACCCACTTACCACCCATAGAAAATAACATGTAACACTACAGTCAGCTCCCAATGATTCCGGGTTCATTTGTTCATTCACTTCTGGAGGCCTTTTCTTCTACTTTTCTCTTTCCTTTACATATTTTAAGCATTTCGTTGTCCATTAGCGTGCTCAAGGAGGGTAGATGAATAAAAAAAGAACTAATGGAAATTTAGATCAGCCAGTGAATTAACAACTAAAGGTTGCATTTGAAAAGTAATGAGCCTATACCTTGAAGGATATTACAAAGGAAAAACAAAATAAATTTAGGTTCAGTCTATAAACTTTAATCATTCCTGCTAAATCTAGCACCCTTTCCTGCGGGGGATGACATTTTAATAATTGAATAGCTCTTGCATATCTACATTACTGTTATACTTTTTAATAAGATTGATTTGTTGCACTTCACGGGGACACAGTTGTCTCCTAATATTCCACACTCGTGTGTGTCAGAAGTAGGCAGCAGCAAATGCACAAATAGCAAAGAAAATAAGGCAATTCTAAGAGCTAGTGTGGTGCTACCATAAAAATTGACTTCGAACAGCATGCTATAAATGGTATTTTTTGTTTATTAACAGATAGATATGCTCCACCTGCCCATCAGTAGTATTTAAACCTCTTCGTATGATTTTAGAAGTCAGCCTGGAAATATCTTCCACCCTGAGTGTAAAACAACGATCAAACTACCTTCTTAGTGAGTCCTGCTCTGTGGCAGGCATTGCTCTAAATGCTGTACCCTGACTGTCTCTTTTCATGCTCCCCGTTCCCCTGCCCTCATTTCAAGGACGAGGAGCTGAACCGTTAGGCGTGTCAGGACATGTGTGCGTGAACCCCTGGGCACACCCGCAGTCCGGCTTCGAGGTGGCTCCTGTAGATGGATTCCAGGATGTGGTCC